CACACACTGTAGAATCTGAACATTAGGTACTCTGTGTACTAAACAATACACCATGTTAACACACACTGTAGAATCTGAACACTAGGTACTCTGTGTACTAAACAATACACCATGTTAACACACACTGTAGAATCTGAACACTAGGTACTCTGTGTACTAAACAATACACCATGTTAACACACTGAACACTAGGTACTCTGTGTACTAAACAATACACGATGTTAACACACACTGTATTTCAATCACATACAATATATTTATGAAAACTTTTTAAGTGACCCATTAGAATAAATAAAACTCAAACTGGTATACATCCTATAGACAAACTTCAACATTATCACTGTGTAACACTTTAATTTCTCTTCCTTTTTTTTTTTAAATACACAAACAAGTTAATAATATCTACACGATTCAGGTTTATTCCAATATTCTCAATAGAATGTTCATATAAGTTCCTTTATCTTAGGAAGGACATTGACTGGTTGGTGAAGGTTCTGAGAAATGTTGTTAAGATAATCCTGAGGATGGATTGCCATACAAAGTCAGGTTGAGGGCTCTCACAGAGGAAGGTTACTGGGATGATTCTAGGGATGGAAGGGTTGCTGTATGAAGTCAGGTTGAAAGTTCAACTTTGATCTCTTGAGAAAAAAAGGATCAAATGAGATTTAATTGAATTCTGAGGTCAACATATCAATAAGTCAAGTTTAAGATTTGGAAAGGTCAGACACATCTCTAGCTTAGTTTTTTATTTTTTCAATTTATTTCCAAGTCTATGGAACCAATTGCCATCCATGATTGTAGAACCTACAGCTGTACACAAGTTTCAGAAAAGAGCTGATGAATATGTAGAGGATCAGGGAGGTTGGGATTGAAGGTATCCTGTTGAAAGTATAATGTTGCCATTCATGATTGTAGAACCTACAAGTTTCAGAAAAGAGCTGATGAATATGTAGAGGATCAGGGAGGTTGGGATTGAAGGTATCCTTGATGGTAATAAAACAATGAATGACTAATAACATGAATATATATAAATTACACACATTACAGGAAACTGTCATAATTATTAAAACTATTGTTGAGAAGATCTGGATAATAAATCATTAACTGGGGTTATTATATTTTGATGTTTAAAATTTCTCACCTTTTAAAGTATGTTGTAAGTATTTCTTCTTCTTCTTACTTTGTTTCTCACACCTTGCAATATTTTCTGGTACCCGATATCCAGCGACTGCCTCGAGAAGTGTACGTAGAATATAGCATGCATAAATGTCCGTTATAAACTCATCCATGTTGTTCAAACAAAATTTGCAAAGCTTAATGATCCAGTTAATAATGGTTCCACTTTTATCTTCTTCGGCAGTTGGTTCCTCGTCATCATCTCGTTTATTTGTCGACTCTTCACTTTCGTGGTGAAATTTCTATAATAATGTTTTAATAAAAATTTTACGAGGCTCAGTATTGAAAACAATTTTCTACAGAACATCTTCACTAAGTAAAGGTGCGACTTAGACCAGGTTTCTTCAGTGAAAATAGTTAAGTTCGCTAAAAGAAGTGATTTATAATATACAGTTTAAATGCATATTTTAAGGTATAACCATACCTATCTATTCGGCCTTTTCTGGCTTATCATTTTATGGTTTTCCTCAGTCAACGTATAATAAAGGTAAGTTGATACAACTTAAAATTATTTAGCACAATTAACTTAAATATACGAACCTTTATTTGAAACAATAGAATAAAAAAAGACTCGTTCATCAGTGATGATGTTGTAAACGACAGAATGAAACCAAAGTTAAAATAAAACTAAAAATTATTGTACACATCATTTTCAATTATAGTTAGTGCATTATAAATAACTGTTGTTTAAACCAAAGTTCCTATTTAGATCAGATCTTAATAATAATACAAAATCAAAATAATGCACAAATGAATAAGAGAATTAACAAAAGATAAAATTGATTAGTTTTGACAGTTTGAACTAAGAATTATAAACTTAGCCTGTTGTAACTAGTTGGGTTTCTTTATAGTTTCTTAATTACTTAATAATTTTGTATTATTTTATATTTTGTTAATTGTATAACAATTATTCTGTGGTATTATTATCTTTCTTTTATGGGTTTGCACAAAGTAGTTATTTAAATAAAACAAAAAATTAATCCTGTAAATAATATGTTAAATCTAATATACTATTTTAACTGAGAGTACGTAATGTCATAAAGCAAAATCTCATCATGATTATTACAGTATGTTATCAATATTTTCATCTGTAATCTCATCATGATTATTACAGTATGTTATCAATATTTTCATCTGTAATCTCATCATGATTATTACAGTATGTTATCAATATTTTCATCTGTAATCCCATCATGATTATTACAGTATGTTATCAATATTTTCATCTGTATTCTCATCATGATTATTACAGTATATTATCAATATTTTCATCTATAATCTCGTAATGATTATTACAGTATGTTATCAATATTTTCATCTGTATTCTCATCATGATTATTACAGTATGTTATCAATATTTTCATCTGTAATCCCAATAAATCACACAGTTCAAACCAGTTTAGGAGATGAGGGTTAGTTCTAAGTTCATATATTAAGTCAACAAATGCAAAATAATTCTCATAATACAACAATATTATATATATATTAAATAAAAATAATAAATATCAAAATTTTTAACCAATACTGTTAATGAATCTAACATTACAGAAATTTGTTTCAAAATGTTATGCAAACCCACATAAGGATTATCTATATGTATTCTAACGAGAAAGATGGCAGCTAGTCAACAGCACTCGCTGTAAACTCTTGGAATACTCATCGGAAAGTAGGATTTGACTGTCACCCTTATAATGCATCTATGACACTAAAGTGTTGAGAGCATTTTTCTGGGAACAGATCACGAACTAAGTCCTTGAATTTAGTCTGGGAATGCCAACTACTAGGTTCCATTAAAAAAAAACACAACTTTACTTACAAGACACATAAACAGTATTAGTTAGCTTCATGTACTGTTACTGATTAAATGTCCTTGGAAGGTGTGACAACCGTAGACAAAGTTTACTCTAACAGACCAATGAAATCCTAATAAATCACTCCAATAGTGTAGCTTCCAATTAGACTAGTTTCAGTTTCTTTTAATAAATATACAACATGGCCACTAGTATATTACGCTATAATGCACAAACCTGTATGTGTTGAACTCCTGCAGTAACTAAAGACTGTACAACATGACTGGCAAAGTGATGAGTGCACACAAGACGCAAGTCAGAGCCAAAAGCTTCCATGAACCTCACGATGACTTCCTCAGAACAACCAAGTTTCAATAAAAGCTCCATACAAAAACTGCCAAGTTTGCTTCGAGAAAGCATGACTTCTTTCCCTTCCGTCTGTTCAGAAACATTCTCCACAAAAATTTCTGAAAAGATGAATACGAGTGAATTAAAATTTAGATAGATATGTATCTCTTTCTGCACTGTAAGCTATACTACTTTAAGTATTTAGTTTAACAACTGGACTATGAGGTCTAGACTCTGAAATACAATGAACAAGATGAACTGTTTGGTAACAATTCTGATGATTCTGTGCAGGAATATACATGGCACACCCTCTCACGATTTTATTGGATTAAATATATAACAAAACTTAATACTGTATATGAACAATATCAGATATTTTGTTATTTATTACACCATTAAATATAAAAGTTAATTTTACTATTCCTTACGGGATTGAGACATCACACTCAGCTACAAATTAATTTCAAAACAGTTGGTAGAGCACTCGTTTGACTGGCATATCTCGGTGGAAGCTATAGCACTCGCTGGCATGTCCCGAGCCTGCAACTCTACCATACTAGCTTTTCATACATGTGATCAATTGTAAATGTACTAATGAAGTTGCAATAAAATGTCAAATGCTTTCTGAAAACCCAGAAATATAAAACTGCATACCCTTATCCCCACCTACATAAACAATTACCTCTTCAATGAACATCAAAATATTAGTAAGGCAAGATTTTTTCTTTAGTGAAACCATGTTGAGTATATGCAAGAACATTTTAAACTTTGGCTGCTCTTCTAAGTACAACACTTCATCCAATACCTTAGTCGTCTGTGGATGATTTGGTGCTCCAACATTACATATATTTCCTCATCGTTTGTGGATGATTTGGTGCTCCAACATTACATATATTTCCTCATCGTCTGTGGATGATTTGGTGCTCCAACATTACATATATTTCCTCATCGTCTGTGGATGATTTGGTGCTCCAACATTACATATATTTCCTCATTTTGGGCTTGAACCAGAGACCTGTCGTACATGAGTGCTATAGCTTCCACCGAGACATGCCAGCAAGTGGTGTAACTTCCACCGAGACATGCCAGCGAGTGGTGTAACCTCCACCGAGACATGCCAGCGAGTGGTGTAACCTCCACCGAGACATGCCAGCGGGTGGAGTAACTTCCACCGAGACAGTGCTGTAACTCGCAGAAAGTAAGAAATGTTACAAACATCACATACACAATACAGAAAAAGTAGCAAATACAGTTACAGTTTAGGTGTTTATTTGCTTCAACCATAACTATAATCAATTAAGCTGAACAAATTTCAATTAAAATTAATAATGAAAAATCATAATGAAAATTTTTTTTATTACTATGATAGTTGCAATAATCCAAAACTGTATTAATTTCAATTAATTCTTTTTCAAATTTGGTTAATTGATAATTTTACATGACAATGACCAAAGTAATTAATTATTTTAATTAACAGACTTAATTACCTAGCTTTAACAGTGTACTATGACAACTGCATTATATACATACATACATACATAAAAGATCAACTCTTATATATAGTTTAGAATGATTTGGGGTTAGAGGTGCTAACTGGTCAAAGAGCTTTGGAAGGGACATTTCTTTCCCTCCCCTTCTTCATGGCATAAATACAAAACCAACATTACAAACTTAAGTTAAAAAAGATCACATTTAAGTTCAAAACATTTGTATCAACACCATTTATTAGGCCTACAATTATGTTGATACAAAATAAAAACATAAGAAACTTAAACAGAAATTAAAATTACAATAAAAAGGACATGAAAGCAAATCATGTATTAGAATCATTATGAAACAAGCAAAAGCACCCATCCCCAGTGACGGGAAAAGTTTAAGTTAATCTATCAGTTGAAATTATTTCCTGGACCCTAAAAAGGTTAATTGTGTTGCACTCTTGGTTTCACTCAGAGCCAAATTTCAGAGCATTATTTCAGGCTTCAGCCTCACCACTGGTGTTAACACAGCCAATCAATGTAACACGTAACACATATCAGTGTCCATGATTATTAACATTAAGCTGGTAAAGTGGTATTGTAATAATAGTATAAGTACTATAGGTAGAACAGAAATGGAAAATAGAATATAGCAATAATACTTGAATTTTGAAAAGACTAAACCTTACACAGTGTTACACTTACAGTATTAATTAGAAAATAAAGACATGCCTTTTTCTTCTTCATTGTCAAATCCTGACTTTACTCTTTCAAACACTCTCGTAAAATACCTTAAACTTTCATCGTCAAGTCTTTCATCACTTGCATAGATCGGTATAAACTTATCACTTGTATGATGTACATTAGGGCTAGGTCTGTGACCAATTCGATTAGGATAATTTTCGTTTCGAAAAATATGACTATTTTTTGTGCCACTTTTACTATAATTCCATCGATCAACATTGTCATTATTGTAATTTTGTTTTACATGTTTTTTCTTCTGATTAAAATATCGAGCCATACCTAAGTTATTTTTATAAACATACCTTGTTCTACTATTCAATTAATACTTGTTCAGAACGCGAGAAATATACCGTTTGCACACGTGCCTTCACTAAAGACAAGATTAAATTTTGTCAACAAGTGCCCAAAAACGTAAGGAAATGTTTATATGACAATCTATTATAATTTATTTAACTAAAAATATAAATGTTTAAATTATAATTTATATGCAAACGGTCTCTTTCAAATATAAATTAGCTAAGAATACTATTGACAAACACGTTTCCTTTCAACATAACAAGTAAAGAGCATATATATATATATATAAATTATAAGGCTGGTGGATCTGTCCGAAGGGCTATGATCTTATCGTCTTCTTTTTTTGAATTTTATTGTGATTATGTTACACGATTATTATATGTTTCTACATCAATACTTCTATATAACTTAAAGACATTAAAATATATTGTATGTCACAATAATTCCTAGACCCTTTATTATATCAAGTTTATCTTGGCGATCACTATAAATATTTAATCTTCAAAATTTAAACTTTTAAGAAAACTGTTGCTCTTAAGTCGGCCCGTACTTTATAAATTGTAATTAATTTTCCTGTCTTAATTTGTACCTATATTCTGTTTTTTACTGAAACATTTCCAAGGTTTCTTCAATTTACAATCGTAAACCAAAGCGTATGTTTTTCTTAAAAGCAAACAAAATAAAAGTTCAGTTTCTATTGAAAAATAGAAAGAAATAGTTACATAACTATACGATATTTCAGAATTCGGTTAAAAAAGATAAAAAAAAAGGCTTATGACTTTGTTTGTTTTACCACGAAGCTGCACAATGTAGGAACTACGCTCTGCCACCACAGGAAATCGAATCCCGGGAGCTTATGAGATACAACTGGCCAATAATTTTAAAATAGGATTCAAGTGTTAGAGCAAAGCAAAATGGTTCCTTCGGAGAATTCTGGTGGCAAGGACTGTGAAATGATGGCTTTTAAATGTTATATTCTGCCCATACTAGAGAAGATGTTCCTAATCCTGTGCATTCTTTGGAAATGATCCGAATCAGAACAAAGGTCGGCCAACATAATGGACACATCTCACCATTTTAACTCCAAGCTTTCGTGTCTCCAAAAGAGTAAACTGTAGCCATACGGTAACTTAACTGGGCACTAAATCATTCTGTATCATTGAATTTGTGCATATACCAGTAATACAATATCTTATATGGAAAAGGTTTTAAAAATTCCAAATTGAAAAGAACTATCAGATTTCCAGAGAGGCACGGTTGTAAGTGAACGTCTAGCTGGATTCTCAGTAGCACAAACATCTAATGTATTCCGAGGAACAGTGTCAAAAGTGGTATCAGCAAGGATATAAAAACTAAAATCACACCAGCAGTAAAAAAATATAGTTTAAAGATCGTGACTAACGAGCATTATCGCAAGTGGTAAGATAAAAACAATGTTAAGTGTGTGTGCAGAAGTTAACACTGACTACAACAGTATGTTAACATGATTTATCATTAGAGGACCAGGTTATATTTGATCCCAGATACAACTAATAATTTGGGCTGTACGGTCCAGACCTAGCTGTGTTCATGTACCATTTCTTGTGAATGGTATACTTATGCACTATGTTTGTGTAGAAAATGTTGTATTTTAAACTCCATCTAACAACGGTAAATTATATTGAAATGAATGAATTCATTATTATTATGTGAACTGGACTTATTTTTATCTAACAGAACCGGCCCCATGATATGATTTGTTATATTTTACATAAAATTATTAAGTCATAATAATAAGCTATTTAGTAGCATTCTCGAGTAGTTATTAACAGGACAACTACAAACTGTAATATTTTTATGTGCTTTATTCATTAACATCGTAAGAAAAACTCAGTTATAGATTGTTTTAGTTTAAATAAAAATACTTCATTAAATATGTTTATTACTTTTAACGGTACCACAAGTCAGAGTTACGTTTAACAAAAGCTCATTTTTCCAAGCAGTTTATTGGTCATAAAAATAAAACTGAACCTTGGACTAATAACTTTCAAAACAGTTTCTAAATACATTTATATATTATACGATTAAAAGTATTTGCATATGTACAATTTACAAATCAAAACAGAACAGTATATATACATATTTATATAAATGTGCTTTGGTTTTAATTATCTAAGTCAGTCTACAATAAATAACATTTCTGTACTTGTCCGTTATTACTAATCACACGCAGATAAAGTACTCAATACAACTTGACATAATAAATTTTGAAAGTACGTAATAACGATTTTTTTTTCTTTAAAATGTTTTGCCGATATGTAAAATTAGACAAAGTCGTGCAATTGAAAAAGAGGACTAAAGCACTTTGAAAATGACATTTCTAACAGTTACATTAACAGCCTTTATTTTAGTAACTTAATATAACCCTGTTTTTGACAGTATCAGTTGTGTGTTCTGAGGATTTGTTTGTCACCGTGCAGTTTGTTGCTTAGCAACATCTGCTTAACTTATTAATCTGAACAATTCTTAATCCATTGTTTATATAACGGTAAGATAACCCATATGATTGGAAGTGAAAATCGTTACTTGTAAGGGTTTATAATCCAATTAAGAAATTTGGGCTTGAGTTATGAATTTATAAATATTGACTGCATATTGTACATATGCTGTATAATGTATTTTGTATATATATATATATCTGGTTAATGCTGGACAGAATATCAAAGAATGAACAAATGGTATTAGCGAGACTTTTGCTCAGTTTTGCTCTCTGCCTTCATCAAAGAAAATGAAGGCAGATTGTTTAGCAAGTCATTCGGTATCAACTGACTTTAATCGTTGATAGAACTGGTTTTAAGGAAGGTTCTGAAGAAAACTGGACACCAGATGGCACAATAGTTAAACTGTCTAGTGATGGTATTGAGACACTACATTTTCCTAACGGACAGAAGGAAATTCATACTCCTGATTATAAGAGACGGGAGTACCCTGATGGCACTGTGAAAACAGTCTACGCAGATGGTCACCAGGAGACTAGGTATTCCAGTGGAAGACTTCGCATTAAAGACAAAAATGGGAAAGTAATAATTGATGAAAAATTTAACAAAGACTTTATAACTATGGCCGATCCATTACAGTCTTGAATTTCCTACAGTTTGACTAGATAGTATGTGGTGTTCAAAATCATACTTGTGACCTTTGAAATGTTTTAGGAGATGTGGTTGTGTATGCAAAGAAAAAGTGTCATATATATTTTGAAAATTTTAAACATATCTTGTATTAGACGGCTATACTTGTACCTCAAACCTGTAAATTGTATTAAGATAATTAAATCATAATCAAACCTGATTAGAAGAAACCCACTTGGTAAAGTTTTGATGCACTACTAAAATATAACTGAAAAATGTTGTTAACTATTTATTTTTTAGAAAAAAATTCAACTTAGAGTTAAGGAAATTGTATGAGCTATATATTACATTTTGATTTGCACTTCGGAGAGAGAGAGATAGTTTTTGCATCTGGGACTGTCAAACACATCAGTGCAGATGGAAAAACTGTCACCGTGAAGTTTTATAATGGTGACAAGAAGGAAATGCTACACGACCACTCCGTGGTTTACTATTACGCAGACTCGGGAATCAAGCAGACCACTCATCCTGATGGTTTAGAAATAATTGAATTCCCAGGTGGACAGATGGAGAAACATTACAGTGATGGGATGAAAAATATAACTTTCCCAGATGGTTCTGTAAGAGTTATTTATCCCCTCGGAAGGACTCTTTCAATTCTGTCATGATGAGGTACCTCCTCGACAGAAGGCTCGTCGCTACTACCCGTTTCACCGACACAAACATCTGGTTTCAAACAAAACCGTACTTTTCCTTTTGACTTCTGCAGATCTAAAGTGCCTAATTTCTTTAAATGATTTTCAACATCATTGCTATTCACATTTTCTTGACCGTTAACATCTTTGGAATGAATTGAAATAACAGCTGGGCAAACTTTACTTTCACCGTCAATCTTTTCTCTACCACTCTCACCATGTTCCTCATTATTATAATCAACAACAGAAGGTTCACTGGGTATCGGAGAATTTTCTAGAGAACATTCAAGATCTTCAAAGCGTAACTCTTTAATATGATCATTCTTAGGCTTCACACTTGAATTTTTAAGCACGCTGTCTTTCGGTTGACCTTCAGGTAGAACATTCTTTTTTGTTGCTCGTTGCTTTTCAAAACTTAGCCACCTTGGTGGTTTTTTCTTCTTCTCGTACATTTTTAGCTTGGCGAGTAAGTCCAACCTCTCATTTTCTAGATACTTGACCTCGTCACGTAAACTATCTTTTTCCTTTTCCACAGAACGAAGCTGAGCTCGTAAACTGCTCTTTTCGGCAGACCACTTCTTCTCCTGCTGTGTTAGTTCTTTTTCTAATTGTTTAACTCTCGTTTTTAACTCTCTTGTTTCTTCTCTCTCTTTTCTTTCAGGAAAGTCTTTCTTGACTCTCTGATAGTGTTCAAACGCATCCCTTTCTCGTTTCAGCTTTTTCTTCTCTTCAACTAACTCTTCTTGTATTTTCTGTTTTTCTTGTTCTTTAAATATTTCAAACTTGTTTTTCTCTCTCTCTAGAACACGCAGTTGTTCTTCTCGTTGTTTTCTTAGAAGATTTAATGCATCATTTTCTTTTTGGAAAACCTGAATTTCATCCTCTAATTCTCGTAACTTGTCTCGAAGGAGTTGCTGACTGACAAATCCGGTGTTGTTAAAGCTGTTATTTTCGTTTCTGCATCTTTTACACGTCTGTTCATTTGAGTTAACATCAGACTTCTCATTTAATATATTCTTTTGTGATTCGTTCTCTTTGTTTGAATTATCCTCAGTATTATTTGAACAAGCAATATTAATCTCTGACTGATTATCATCACTGATAACATCATTAGCATATTCCTGTATACTATCTTCCACGATCTTGCTTTCTCCATCATCACATTTCCAACTTTTATCATCTTGGAAAAAAACAGGTGTTCCAGCACTTTTATCAATATTTTTTTTTTCCTGTTGTTCATTGTTTCCAAGAACATCATATTCAGGAACTGATATTTCTGGAACAAAGTCTCGTTCTTGGAAAAAATTAACTTTGTGGTTATTTGGTGCAAAATGAACGGAAACATTGTTTACAGATTCTGTATCCTTATCAACCAGAGTGTGATCACCGTCGATGATCTCATCATTGTCAGATTCCACTTCAGAAAAGCTGTGGTATGGTGAATTCAAAACACCAAGTTTGTCTTCTATGTAGTTCTTTCTTTTTTTCAGTTTTCTCAAAAGAGCAGTTATATCTGTACCTAAACTACTGCTTTTTTGGCAATCATAAATATCAGAGGTTTCTTGGCTATTACTACTGTCGTCAAAATCCAAAAACTGTACACTGGAAGACTTTCTGCTATTTTTAAGCTCAATTCCTTTTTCTGTCTGTTTGGATAATGGTGATGATTGTTGAAGTGGCTTATTGATCATTTCTTGATACATCGATGATTCACTGTTTAAAGAAGTGTTGTGTGTTACCTGTTCAAGAATCTCAAACTCTGCGAGTTCTTCGACTTCTTTCTTTTGTTTTACTTCCACATCTTCTATTTTTCTAGAAAACGAGGATTTTTCTGTACAGTCATCTGAAAAGTCAGAATTACAGTCAGAGTCGTACTTTATTTTTACAGAGCTTACTGGTATCGAACGGTCGTGTTCCTCGAGGTTTTTCATGTTTTCTTCTAAATCACAAAATCTGTGAAGAACATTTTCCATTTCAAGATTATATTCAGAGTTCAGTGGGATCATTCCATTGTCTTCATTGTTTATGTTAGGAACTAAGGGAGGATGTATTCCTTGAGAAGGCAACGGCTGAAGCTTCAGTTTTGTAATTAGTTTTAGCTTATTTTTGGAAAATGAATCTTTTTTAACTAAATATTCAGTAATTTTTTTTTTTTTCAACTATTCCAAGAACTTCTGAACTAGTCTTCTGTTGACACTGCTGATATTTGGCTAGACCCGCACCTTTCCGTAAAAAAGGTTTTTTTGGCTTTTCAACATATTTTCTTGAATTACTTGTTTCTTCGTGTAAATGATGCTTTAAGAGATCTTCAAATGTTTTAATCCCTCCAACAATTCCAGGGTTTACAGGCCTTTCTTCGGTAGACAGAAATGCACTCCCTGGTTTATCTTCTTTTTTATACAACATTTCTGAATGTTTCATCACTTTGTTAACTGAATCTGAAATAGGATGATTTTGTGATACATTTTTATTTATTAAATCATTGGGAATTAAATCTCGGTTTTCTTTCTTGTTCAGTTGAACAACTGAATCTATAGTTTCACCATCAGGATTTTTCTCAAGCTTACTTTCTGAAAACTTTCTGCACGTTTTTCTTTTCATATGTTCTACAGATTTTGATTTATTTTTAACTTGCTGACTAAATTTACAGGACGCACTACTTTCAACTTCAATAATTCCAAGATCATTAGCATTACCTTCTGTTTGTGAGCCTAGTTTAAAATCGCTGACACTAGCAGTGCTATTACTATTACTAGTGTTAGGTGTTAACATTCCACGTACACGATTTTGTTCCTCATTCAGTTTTTGCCACTGTTGTTTTTGCATTTTACGAAGCTTTTCTTGTTGCTTTTCCTGCCATATCCTTAACTGTTGAAGTTTTTCATGTAACATCAACGGAGAATTCAACGTTTCACCAAGTGAGATATTTTCATTGCTGTTGTTAGCAATACCACTAGGCTTAACATTAAAATTATATAAATTAGCTTGAACTTCTGACATTTTAAACTTATTGATTTCTAATCTGAAAAAGGATTTCTTTGTAACTTAGTATAATACTGATTAAAAAAAAAGCTAGTTGAGGTTTTGAAACTAACGTACGCTTCTATACCCGAAATAACGAAATGAATACAGAAACAAACCATCATCATCAGTTTAATACTACCGCCATTACAGAAGCGCCATCTACTAACACCACTCATGGATTCCGGTAGATGGCGCTTGATGATCGACATCCACGTGCAGGCATTGTGAATTTTTATTGACGTAGGAAGTAAGGTATTTATAATTAAGTGATAAGATTTTTAACATTTACATTTTAACAATATACTTTGATTAGTTTATTTCTTAGACGAATAAAGTTAGGAATGAGGATATAACTCAACGTGATAGTAGTAATATTAATTTGTTCTCATAACTTTATGTTTGAGCTTATAACTTAACTACTAATACTAATAGGCAAGTGTAACAAATTTCAAAAAGTAAGATACGAATTCTATACAAAATTAAGTCCATTGTTGAATGTTAATTATTACTGCATCAAGCTCACATAGTGTATGGACACAGATTACAAATTACTTGATTGTTTTTGCAACCTATTTGACTTTGTGAAAACCTAGCATATACCTTAAATGTTAACCTTACATCAGGTGGGCAACAGTCTGTGTTGATGTTGGATGAGAAAACTGAAGTACAAGAAAGAGACTTGAAAGCAAAAACAAACATTTCTGTATTAAAGAAACCCTACTGCATGTGGTGCCTCCATAAAGTCATGTAAAAGGTGTAATATCTTAAACTAAGATTTCCTGTGAATAAATACCAAAACATTGGTAACTCTTTGGACTGTTTCAGTATATACCTGTAATCACTTCTGAATCTTATTTTAGCTAAAATACTAGCAGTCTTTTTTTACAATTTCTATTGCAATAAAATAAACAACAAGTGTCTCAAAGCAGAACTATGAAGTTCCCGATCTTGTATTTTCTATCTCTAACTCAACATCTTTTCATTTCCAGACTTTTTGGCTTTTTCTATAATTTCTTTTAAAATGTTATGCGTTACACAACATTTACTACTTTCGCCTCAAGATACAAATTTCTTAAGAAAATAAAAATGTTGATGAGGCATGTAGACTATTTGTAAGACTTTTCATAATATCATTTATTAAGTCCCAATTTTTGATATGTTTTTTCACATAATTTCAGACATCATCAGCTTGTTAACAACACGAGTTAAACTAATAGGCTTATAATTTATCATATCTTTCCAAACTTTTTTTTTACAATCAGTGACCATACTAGCAATCTTTCCAGAGGTTTTCCTAGTGTGCAGTAGATCACAAATTGTGTACCTGTATTTAGGATTATAATATTCCATTCTAGAGTTGATAAATAAATGTATTTACTAGAATATTCTTCTCATTTTTTGGATCATTTGTTGCTAGGCCTGTATATATGAGGTGCAATAAGGCATCACGTATTAAAAAATGAAGTTCAAATATAATTGTCAAGTTGAAAAAGTCCTTAGGAAAAGCTCTTTCAATTATTAGGAATTTTCCACCATTTCTTTAGTAATCTTCTTCAAAGTTTAAACTTCCTTGAGACCAAGGGCTTTACCTTAACAACAGTTTGTCAGAATTGGATTTTCTTTTAACACATAATCAAAATCGGCTCTCCTGCCAGTTATCTCCTAACCAGAAATAACTTTCCGGGCAACACAGAATCAGCTTTTCTGCCAACAGATATAGCTATACAGAAAACTCGTCTTTACCTTTATATAATTGACCAGGTAATGAATCTTTGTTAGTGAGAAAATTATTGGACACTCTAGTCATGTTACTTTCTTTCTGAAAACTTCAAGTTTCACTACCTGGATGGATGTAACGCAGAAAAAGCAAAGTTAAGTCTTATTTTAAAGATGTTAATGAAATGAAAAGTTTTCTTGTTTCACTTGTATGGAAATGCTACAAAATTATTTTTTTTCACAGATTTATGTTTTATTATAAGTTATTTTCCCACAGATTTATGTTTTATTATAAGTTATTTTTCCACAGTCTTAATCATGAAGAGGAAAAGAAATGAACCGATGAAAATAGGCAGTGACAACGATTTTGAAAAAGCTGAGAAGAATGGAGTAAGTTTTCAAATTTTACATGTGGTGAACAAAAAGGCTTAGTGGTCATTGAAATGAAAAATAATATTTATGTATATTTTACCTTTCACATTACTTTTGTACTTGTTTTAAGTAGTTTTATAAGTTGGAGAATTCATTTTACCCCAGAAGGATTTTATTTTTATTACACACACAACTTTATGTGAACTTTGATATGACCTTTGTTTAGTTGAATATTCAAACGGTATTTTCATAAACATAAATTATTCATTGAAGAGAATCATTTATATAATGTACAAATACTATTGATTGTTAATAACATTAAGTTTAAGCCTTTTTTTTCAGCCATGGGAGTAGTGTTGTTTTTCATTATTTAAAGCAAATATACGAATGCTTATGAAACAAAAAGTGGGTAAAAATAACTGTGGCCAAAAAAATCAATTGTCTATAAGAAAAATCAACAAACACATATTTCCAGTTAATATATATAATTCACTATTTCTTCAAATAAACCATTCTACAAGTCACTGGCTGTTAGGGAGAACCAATCCTGTTGAAGATCAAACCTGCATTAAGCTTCCAAGGCAAAATTGTGAGTTCCATAAAGGTTTGAGAATTAGTAATTTTATTTTAAATACTTTGAGTCAGATCTTGTAGCTATTCTTTGCAATTTTTTTAATTCAATCATATTTTTTCTGGTCTGTTAGAAAATTTTGTAAAGCTCTTCTGATTAATTTTGTGCCAGGAGACAGATGCCAGTGAAGATGATAGTGAATATTTAGAAGATGAAGATGTTAAAGAAATACTGGAGGAAGATGGTCAGGTTTCAAACTCTCTGGAAGATTCTCGCTTTGAAGAAAGTACTAAACCACCCAAGAAATTAGGAAAACTGAGCAAAGATGAGCTTTTTAAACCACCATCCAGGGATGAACTTAACAACCTGAAAGAAGCTGAAACATTATTTCATTCTAGTCTTTTTAAGATGCAGGTAAGAAGGACTCCTTAAGCTAATTTACATTTATAGTACTAAACGTGTACATAAAAGCATAGAACTTTGACATTTGAGTGAAGACGTAATTTTCAAGTAGGCTTATTTACATTCATCTTTTCAAAGAATTGAAGTCAAAAACTCCTTGTGTAATGAATAAGTAATGTTTAAAGTTGCATATTAGATATTGAATCCTTGTGTAATGAACAAGTAATGTTTGAAGTTGGATGTTAGATATTGAATCCTTGTGTAATGAATAAGTAATGTTTGAAGTTGGATGTTAGATATTGAATCCTTGTGTACATGGACATGAAAGTTTTGGTCATGTGGAATATCCATTAATTTAATACATCTCAAACCATAACACTAAAGACAACAAGGATCCATTTGATCATCCAAGAGTGACCTTATACATCTACCCCTGAAAAAAGTGAATTTAAATCTTACCATTTTTTTTTTCTGGTAAAGTGCTGATAGCAACTTGTTACACAGGTCAATCACTCTGTTAGAAAACTATCTGAACTGTAGCCTTGCCTGTCTTTTTCCAAATTTTAAACTTATGTCCTGTTATTCTGTGGTCACCAAAATACAACACAAAGAAATTGTAAACCTTTATCTCATTCATTTCCTGGATAATCTTGGAAACTTTACTCGTTTTTTTCTCAATAATGAGAAGTGAATATTTTTATAAAGACAACATTACATACATAAGGTGACCAGTCCTGTTTTTGAATTACCTGTCCTGCCATCTTCCAGACACTTTAGGGGACACGAAAATGTCCCACTTTGGGAGATAATGAACTTAACAACGAATTGGCAAAAAAAAAGAGAGAAACCCTGCGCACAATTAACAACAGTTGGTGGCAGTTATGGTGATTGATAGCTAAAGGCCCTCATTAAAGCAAGAATTGATTTTTTTTTGCCATTGAGCAAATTTGTCGGCTAGTTTGGTCAGTTGAGAGAAATATCAAGTAACAATTTTTTGAAAATAATTTACTTTTAAGTACAGAAAGGAAAGGATTCTTGAAGTGCGGTAAATGAAATGATACGTTCAGATGACTCGTTACTGGTTTTTTGTGTTATAGTTTGTATTCATATAGGACTGAGGTTTACGTTTGATTCTTAGATAATTAATGTGTTCGTAATAGAGTAAATGTTAGTAGTTTATATATGACTAGATAAAAATTATATATACCAATTTTGGGTTAAAATGTTAATTTTATCTAGTCATATATAAACTACATTATATATACCAATTTTGGGTTAAAATGTTAAGCAGTTAGTCCTGCATTAACTTATACATTATTTATACGACTTCACATTCCCTGTTTTGTATTGATAAAGTTAGGTTTAATCACACCATATTTTATGATTATATAATTCTCTATTAATCCTGAAATACTGTGCTTGGTAAATTCTGTCTGAATGATTTGTAGACTGAGGAACTGCTCAAAGAAGTAAAAGTTAAACCAAAACTGAAGAAAAAGTTTGAACCATGGCTTCATGCTCTTAAGGAATATCTTTCTCATCTGAAAGAGGAGCCAGCATATGAGGTAAGATTTTTCTTTTCACATTTGGTTTAATGCACATGTTTGGTGTTTTAAATACTGATGTGTGTGTTGTTATTGTATTATTTTTATACAAACTTATAGAATCAAACTATTCATGTTAAACAAATTAACACAAATACAGAAGTTTTCTTATTTCATAATCTTAGTTCTGTAATTGCATTTTGCTGAACATTTGATTCATTCTGATGAATAAGGTGAGTGTTCCGTGCTTCAAAAAAACCCAACTGTAATAAGAAATAATAAAATTATCAAGAATTTAAGGAAAATTACAATTCTGTAGCCAATCTCTTTATGAATGCCTTTGTCAAAGTGTTTTAAAATATGAATAATATTCAGCACCAATTTTATATGGTTTTAAAATAAATATGGGATTCTCCAGCATGACATCTTGTGTTTTGATGAGTTTATAAGTGGAAAGGTATTAAAAGCTATAAAATGAAATGGTAAGAAAAAAGTTCCAAATGTGGAATTTTTCTGAACTGTATTTTTATTTTTCAATATATTTTATTAAATTGTATATACCTTAAGCAACATATCTGTAATTCACGTTCTGTAAATTTATTAATTTAACAATTATTCTCTAGCTGAGTGATTTGTCCTGGCTAAAAAAGAAGAATGTCAAAGTTCCTTTAGTTTGGGAACCACAAGAAGCAAAGGGAAAGTTTTGTTTTTTGCCTCCTTCCAATATCAGAATAGTGGGAAGTTATTTACTAGACTTGGTATGCAGACCAAATGTGACAATTGATGTAGCTGTTGAAATTCCAAAGGTAAGGTTCACGAAATACAGAAAAAAGATTTATCTTCTTCCAGATATCATTTTAACTTATGTAAGGGCTCTTTTTTCAGTCCTAAAATTAATTGGTGAGTAAAAAAAAATGTGTGTAAAGAAACATTGAACTAGTAAATGTAAATTCTATGAAATTTGACTTAAGGCTACTTCATTGTAACAAATGGGATTTAAGCCTACTTCATCGTAACTAATGGGATTTAAGCCTACTTCATCGTAACTAATGGGATTTCACATATTCAGTAAATATTGAAAACTTTAATTTTTCTTCATAAAAAAAAAGAAGTTAATTCTAAATGTGACTTCAATTTTTAATCTATTAGAAACAAGAGTTTATGAAAGAGTAGAACTGGTTTTGAATATGATTCCACAAATAGCGGGTGATATCGCATTTAAACTCATGTGCTTGGTCAGTATTTGTAGACTCGTATTATGGTTTACAGAGATTTGTACTTTTATTTGCATATGGTTACAGATACTAAAGCTGGAAAAGTTATTGTGACATCAAACTATTTTCCAGTTTTTCTAAAAGAATGTTTATTGTTAGGGACTTTTAAGAAAAAAAAAATTAGTGAAAACGTTTATTGCTCTGATGTTTTCAGGAAATGCTTCAACATGGGGATTTTCTTAATCACCGATATTGTCGTAAAAGAGCTCTCTACCTAGCCATTTTAGCTTCAACATTGAAGAAGAGTGAATTAGTAAAAGAGGTTTCGTTTACATACAGTCATGGCGACCCAAGAAAACCATCTTTGCTTATCACTCCAATGGGTTTGTAAAACAATTCTCTAGCTATATAATAAGGAAACAATTTTGATTAGGATTTTTAATCCTATTGTGAGGAATAAATAAAGACCTTTTTTTTTATACTGTATTACATTTAATTATGAAATATGCATGTGTGTGTGTGTATAAAATGATTAACTTACATTACATGGCATAATATTTAATATCGATCTTCAAAACATACATTAAAAATTGTTGAAATTTTGTTTTGACTGTTCAGAGCTTTCTAAAATAAAGATACGAGATTAAAAGTTTTTAAGGTGTATTTATCAACACAAATATATCTCTTGAAAGCAAGTATGTTGAAAAGTCTTAAAGCTTCTACCAATTGTAAAAGAAAAACAATGGAATATCTGTCTTTTTGTTTATTGAACCTATGTGAACTTTTGATGAACTTCAATCTGATAAATGGAGAACTTAAGTAGAAGTAGTGTAAGTTTAGTTACGCTTACGTAGATACTATGAGAACTTAAACAACAACAGTATAAGTATGTTTGAATTTTGGTGGGTGAAATGAAAACATATACAATAATTGTAGAATGAAATTATCTTGATATTCTTACATTTTATTACATACTTTTCTGACCATGTGTAACAACCGTATTCGTAGTTGGTTACTATAAGAATCTAGCCGTATCTCCTGTGTTTCTGACCATCTGTAACAACCGTATTCGTAGTTGGTTACTATAAGAATCTAGCCGTATCTCCTGTGTAACAACCGTATTCGTAGTTGGTTACTATAAGAATCTAGCCTTATCTCCTGTGTTTCTTACCATGTGTAACAACCGTATTCGTAGTTG